CCAAGAGTTGGCGGTGGGTGGTGATGACTAGCTGCCTTCCCTCTAGTCTTACACTGCTAAATTAGGGACGGCTAGCGCAGATAGCCCTCGTGTAGCTTTGCGCGAAATTCAAAACAAGACAAACAATCAAAATACATTTCTATTATCAAGTGTTTTGTATTTAATCACTAAGAGATAATTCAATATATACTTTCAAACTTGGATTTTTTGTTGGGAAAAGAAGTTTACCAAGCTAGAAAAGTAACTAATCTATGACTTTCCCACCAAGGAAAAATTCCTGAAAAATTTAATAGTAATTTTTTAATCTTACAGGGAAATTGGCTTAGTAAACAAAACATGTTTGAAAATTGAGTTGAGTCGTGTTTCGGTTATTTGAAGAATGTAATAACTTGATAATAAGAAACAAAGGGTTGCAGAAAAGGAGAAAATTCGACGAATAGAGCAGTTACCGCCAATTGATTAAAACATCAAATCTTGTTATTCCGTTTGTATATAAATTCACATTGGTTTATATATAAATACACAATTATGTACAATGTAGTGCATTATGTACGTCTAATATATATATGTATACATATATCATTATATTCAGCTCGTTCCAGATTCTCATTAATTGCAAACTATAGCATATGTACATAAAGTAAATGATCTAAAATATATTGTAGTTATTCATTTGAATTTTTATTTTATTTTCTAAGAAACTCAAGAGCACTGAATAATATGTTTCTTTTTTTCTTAACTGTTTCTGTTTAGGTCCTACCCTGCCTTCATACGTTCTGCGAGAATTGTTTGATACAGTACATCCCAGCAGAGAGCTTAACTGTGACTTGCCCCATCTGTCGGCAGCAATCGATCCTACCTAAACAGGGCGTCTCGGCGCTACAAGCAAATGATTTTATCACTAATTTAATGGAAGTTCTAGAACAACCCACCGTATGCCAAGATAAAGATTGCCAATCTCCGGGAGTGCGAAAGTGTATTTCATGTGACAAGTTTTTCTGTGACGCTTGCTGCGAGGTGCACAAGGAGAAATTTTCTTCCTGTAATGAAATGATCGTTTCTATCAGCGAGCTCGCGCTACGAGAAGAGCAGGAAAAAAGTAAGGATAGCCCGTCGCTAATGTGTCCAAAACACTTTCGCCAAACTCTCCGATTTTACTGTCAAGATTGCGAAACTGCTGTCTGTGTCACGTGTACAGACATTGAACATGGAGGCCATGGGACCATGAGATTACGAGATGCTATAGAGGACCAGAAAGGTACTTTGAAATCTCTTCTGCAGAAAGCATATTCGCGGGTACCAGATATAAATGAGGCCATTGAAGCCGTGCACTTAACATCATCTGACTTAACACAAAAATATTCAGAACTTTCAAAAGAAATGTTTTTCTGTTTTGAATCATTATCTGAAATCATACATATGAGAAAATCCGTCCTTCTAAAAGAATTGGAAGACTGCTACAGATCAAAACAACAGGTACTCACAGAACAAAGAGAATCACTCGAACAATGTTTGAATACTCTAGCAAGCAGCTGTGAATTCACGGAAAATGCCCTTACTCATGGAAATGATACCGAAATACTTTTGGTAAACAAGCAGATGGCGGAAAAATTAAAAGAATTTTCTGAAATGGCCATAAAGAAATCACCCGAAGAAAACACCTATATTGTATTTGAAGGAGAAAGTCTGCACATAATGAAAAGTAATATTCTAGCTTTTGGATGTATCCAGACAAACAGCGCTATTGCTGACGAGACGACGGCTTCTGGCGAGGGACTGAAACATTGTGCTGTCGGAAAACCAACTGTTGTCAACGTTGTTGCTAAAGACAGGCGTAAAGAGATGGTTAAAACGGGAAATGTTTTGCTTGAAACTGAAATGATCTCGACACACCTTTCTACATCATTCACGCCAAATGTTATTGCTCAGAAGAATGGTAGCTACGACATAGTATACACTGTCAACAGAGAGGGAACCTACAAACTAGCTATCAAGCTATTTGGAAAACACATCAGGGGAAGCCCATTCCAAGTCAAAGCTTGTGTGGGGGAAAGCAGTTCCTCCAGTGATCGACCAATCAGTTCTAAAATTCCAAGGACGATAGGTGTCAGACAACGTGCTACAAAGCGACCACCAAGCTACCCATCTACCATCTCCTTGCGTAGAAGGAATCCAGTTGAAGACGACTTGGTATTAAAAATTGGAACTAAAGGACGTGGAAAAGGAGAGTTTAGCAATCCTCAAGGGATTTGCTTTACGCAGGCTGGACATATCGTTGTAGCAGACAGCAACAATCAATGTGTTCAGGTGTTTTCTTTGTTAGGTGAGTGCAAACTGCGGTTTGGAATAAGAGGAAGAAGTGCTGGTCAGATTCAGAGACCCACTGGTATTGCTGTAACTCCAACTGGAAACTATGTTGTAGCGGATTACGAGAATAAGTGGATCAGCCTATTTAATCCGTCCGGAAAGTTTCTAGGACGTCTAGGAGTTGGAAAGCTGCTTGGTCCCAAAGGAGTTTCGGTCGACAAGAATGGACACATTATAGTCATTGATAATAAAGCTAGTTCTGTATTAATATTCCAAGAAAATGGAAAACTCTTGAATAAATTTGGTACGAGAGGAACAGGTAATATGAAGTTTGCAGGCCCCCATTACGTAGCAATAAATAACAAGAACCAGTTATTGATTTCTGATTTCCATAATCACTGCATAAAAATATTTGATGGCGACGGGAATTTTATTTCCACTTTCGGCTCCAGCGGACAGGGAAATGGGCAGTTTAACGCACCAACAGGTGTTGCCGTTGACAGTCAAGAAAATATTTTGGTGGCAGACTGGGGAAACAGTCGTATTCAGGTTAATATAGTTTTTAATTTTTATAACGTTATAAGCTCTTGATAGTTAATGTTAAATTGCTCACACGGTTGCTTTATCAGAAAATAGCAAGACAATTATTGATACTTACTACATAAGGCAAGATGTTTTATTATCACCATCAACTTTGTAAAAGATGAGCCTCACTGTAAGGTAAGTACAACTCTAAATCTTTGCAGACGTTCAAATACAATGAAAACAATTAAAGATGAAGAACCAATAAACGTTGGTGCTTATATTCTTTAAACTCAGTAGCTGGCTATTTTCACATTTTGAAATTCATAGAGTAATATAAAATTGCACTCATGAGCAAGGAACATAGAGCGAGATAGTCTTAAAAATAAAAACAGGTGTTTATATATACCTATTATACTTTATTTTATTATTTCTGTTGTTTTGTTTTTTTTTCTTCATGAGCAACACTAAAAATCAGGGTATTCGACTCCACGGAATGGCCAGGTGGTTAGGGAGCTCGACTCGCACTCTGCGGGTCGCGGGTTCGAATCCCCGTCCCACCAAACATGCTCGCCCATTCAGCCGTATGGACGTTATAATATGACGGTCAATCCCACTATTCGTTGGTAAAATAGTTGCCCAAGAGTTGTCGGTGGGTGACGATGACTAGTTGTCTTCCCTCTAGTCTTACACTGCTAAATTAGGGACGGTTAGCGCAGATAGCCTTCATGTAGCTTTGCGCGAAATTCAAAACAAACAATCCCCGTGGCGAACAGAACGCAGTTAGCCTATTGTGTAGCTTTGCACTAAAACAATCTTGTACATGAGGATAGCACGAGTTCTTGGTGTGTAATTTTGCTCTGTTGTATACAGCTTCATAAACAAATTTAAAAGTAGTGTACTGAATTTGGTGAATAATATCTTTTTTAACCAACAAGCGTTTTCTCAGTTTTAGCTGCTGAAAATATTTAAATCAATTTTCAGCTGTCTTGCAAACATTGTCGTCTCCGCATCTCTCCAGTTTTAGATTTTAGATATTAAAATTTCAGTGACAAATTAGACGGTGGCTTACAAGGACAAGTCATTCTTTAACTTTCTACAATTTGAATTCTGCAGAGTTTTTTCTAGAAACTATTAATATGTCTTCACCAAAGAGAATGTAGTATCTTACAAATGTCCCAAAAAATGTGTTTAAAGTATTATGTGGTTTTGTGTCTAGTGTAGTTTTAAGTGCTCAGTATGATCTATATATATATAGTCACTAAGAAATGCATAACTTCACAATTTGATCACTTTTTTTTAATATATCAATAACAATAGGGAAACTGTAAACAAGCAATACCTTAAATATGATGATATGGATAAAAAAAACAACCTAATGTTCTAATATTTTCTAGCTTTTCGACTTCAAATAACCTCAAAAGTGAACGTTTGATACAAACTGTGAAAATAACTTAAAAAATAGACAAAGTTTACCTAAAATAAAATCACAATACACCTATACTCCATGTACCGAAAAATTAAAACAAATCATTTTAAATATAGAAATTATATAAAATTAATTTTTATTTGCTTGAAATGCGATTATTTTTATATCGACTATCAACAGCAAAAAAACATGTACCCTGTCAAGTGATATAAACATAACATTTTTAGTTCTAATAGTTAACTAAATATCCTGTTTTTCATATATATGTCTCTAACATATATTTTATATACTTTTCTCGCTTCAGGTGTTTGACAGTAGTGGATCGTTTTTGTCGTTTGTTAACACAAATGGAACAACACTTTATGGACCGCAAGGCCTAGCTGCGACCCCAGATGGAACTGTTGTGGTTGCAGATTCTGGTAATCACTGTGTTAAGGTTTACAAGTACCTACAGTAGAGGTAATTTAACTATCTAATTGAGATTACTAAAACTTTGTTCAAAATATGTCTTTATGTGGAAATTTTCAGTTTAGTTCTAGCGTGAAGCTGTATTGTCGATATTCAGATATTGTTTGTGAACAAAATTGCTAAATTGAAATAAAATTTGTCCCCCGGTGGGACAGTGGTAAGTTTACGGATTCACAACGCTAACATGGATTTTCCCGCTGTGGATTCAGCAGATAGCCCACTGTGGCTTTACTCTAAGACAAACAAACAAACAGGTAAATATAATTTCATATATTTTTGAATACTACATATTTCAATAACAAATGTTTCCACTAACGAGTGTTGAAATAGTATACATAAAAACATTTTCCTAGTTATTTTTAGAATAACAATTGTAGCATTATCATCACATTTAGGCAAATATAATAAACGAGTACAAGGTCTGCTATTTAAAGTAAATACCAATTCGAGATTTTTTGTATGTAATTCATTGCAGTTATTTAATTATAACACACGTACAAGATTGAATTTCATCAGCTTTTTTTTACATCTTTTTCTGAGTGTTTCCATGAGTTGTTAGGGTTATGTAATAAAGGTAATTAACATTCAAAGTGGGTAACAAATTGAAAATAATTAGTATCCACCAAATTATTTCTCTAAATAGGCAACAGCCTGATCATGTCGTTGTTTTAGTTTACTATTTAGACTAGGACACAAATACTAAGTCGTTCGACCAGTTCCAAATTGTTAACCATAGAGGAATGTTAACTAAATTACCAAAGTTAAAACGTTTTTTGAAAAAACAAACTACATAATGTCATGCTCTAGACTGTAACTGCAATGCATTACAGGATCAATATTTTAAATATGCTACATAAGAATCAACCACGGTGCCCTTCCTAATTCTGAGGATCGTCAGCTATGGTTTTTACATTGTTCTGTATTCCTCGCTGCATGCACAAACTTTCCTAATTCAAGCTTTTCATTTCCAATCCATTTTCTAATGTCATTGAGCCTCATTTATTCTCCTTTGATGCTATTACCAATAGATTGGAGATGGGAAGCTTGAATTAGAAAAGCTGGTACAGGCAATAGTCAAATACCCGATATTTATCATAAAGGTTAAAATATTTTCTGTTGACGTTTCGAGCTGAATGTTGGCGACTATTTCGTTTTTGTTATTATTATTATTAATAATAATCTCCCATGGATAATTATTGTGCAAAATTGTATTCGGTTGTTTTTAGCAGATTTCAAATCCATATCGTTATTTCGCCATCCAGTAAGAGAAGGCAACAAATATGTACTTTAAGAATGATATTGTTGCGTATCTGCTTGTTTGTTAATTTCCCGTAGAAATTCTTTATGAGAAACTTCAGCGATACAAATCCTTTCTTGATCAAAACTAGTTTATTCTTTCTCGATACAAACTTTGTAATACACTTAACAACTTTTATAACACACGCTATAAATCACAGTGATTCACACAGTTTTACTTAGGTGCTACTGTTCGCTTGACTCAATTACCTATCTGCATATCTATCTATTGCTGGCTTTATTTGCCGGGCTTATATACTTAAAAAAGAGAGCGTCTGGCAAACAATCGGACATTCGGGGGGTTCCTCGATATTTCATGATCCTTCGAGAAACTCCAGCCCGCATGCTCCCAGCGTCGCGTGACTTCCGCTGTCGTAACAGTATAGTATTTTTGAATTCATAGAATTTGTTGAGGAAAAAGAAGTAATACTTCGTTTAATGATTTACAGTTTTTATAAGTCTTGAATTTAAGTATTCACCAGTAGACTTGTGGATTATAAAGATATTCTTGCCTTATATAAGATTTGAAGAATATATAGCACTTATAGTTCTAATTTATTCATCTGAATTGTTCAGACATCCTATGAAATTAGTATGTACGTGAAAAGCTGAGTAGAAATTAGGGCAAAATTGCAAATGCTCTATTTAAATCGATAGTTTAGCTTTGAAATTGCGTTTTAATGTGGGACTGTTTTTTTTATTTGTGTTTTTTCTACAGGTCAGGTGGTTTCCATAGGAAAAGTAGAAAACTTAGAAAAACCCGCTGAACTTACAAGCTGCTTGCTAACTTATGGAAAACATCAGCTATTAAAGTCATTTGTAAATATATAGTGTATATGCATCTGTATGCCATGTTGTTATAAAACGTAGGACAAAGTACGTCATAAAACATTATGGTTTACTACAATAGTTGTTAAATATTTATAACCTTAGTAGTCCTAAGTAGTCTTTAAACTATGTATAGACAAAAGCGTAGTTGTGTATTGTATGTACATTTAAAGCTATCCAAATTTTAAGGCTATGAGAATTCCTTAAGTATCGTTATGTTGTACTCTCACCTTGAAAATAATAGTCGCGAAAACATTATTAGTTTGGAAAGTGGAAGCAGACGAAACTTCATACTCTCACAACGTATCTGAAGATATTTAAATTTTCATAAGAAGTTATGTCACTTTAACAATGAGGAATAAATAGTAACTTTATTTCATGTGTTAAATAACAAAGCAAAATATTCAGTTCTATGCATTACCTTAACCTACGAATATCATCAACAGAAAGCATATATTTCGATAGCTATATGATGTTACAGTTGTCTAACGTAATTACGTTTTCCCTTTTCAATTATTACAATTGAAAATATATTGAGATTGTGAAGTTTATTTTTTGATCTTATATTTGTTAATTATAACTGATAAAAACGTATAAGTGTTTTATAGACTATTTAATGTTAATTATATTGATATAATACATGGTTATTTATTTTTGTTTAAATTCACACTTTTTTCTTAAATTTCTATGTAATCTAGAATGACCAAGTCTTACATATGATTATATATTGCATCGTTTTGTTTTTAAAAAAATATTTTTTAATCATAAATATCTTAAAGTTTAGCTAAACCTTAGATATATAGCATTAATTACTTAAAGTTTATGCCAGTTCTCTAGTTCTGTTTTATCAAAGTCAGGATCTAGCCTCGCTTCTTTCTCGTTGAAACAATGTTATGTTTATACACGTGTCCAACATTAGAAACAGATGATCGGGTTTCAGTATTATGAAGACCTCAATGGGTTTCTTCCTCAAAGTATATTGACAAATATATTAAAATATTTTATGAAGTTGTGTCGTATTCGCAAAACAAGACGAATATAATTTTTATAAAGATCTGTCTCTTTGATTTAAAAACTTAGTTTGTTTCAGATTTATTTACGATTTCGTATTATTGTTTCTAATATGAATGTGATGTTCTTGAAATCAATTTGGATTTCGGTATTTTTAGAAACCAGAATATATATTGCCAAACTCCTCTCTAAAGAGGCAGATGTGTGTGTTTTTGTGTGTGAGAGTAATTCTTAGAGGTGTAAGTCTAAGTTTTTTTATGGGAATTCGACCAGTAAATCGAGTAAGGACTGTCAACTAGGCACCTCTTCCTAGATTCGATTTGTCATTCTTTTTACTGTTTGGTTTCACTTCCTTTTTGAAGTGTTTATTTGGTTAACTATAAATCTATTATATTTTACCAAACATTTTTTCATTTTACGTCTTTAGCTGAACACTTTTGAATATGTAAACCAAAGATTTGGATGTTATTTGATAATGGTTAAAAACATTTGTTGCTACCAAAGAATATGAAGAAACTGTTTGTTACTAAAGACTCCTAGATCAGGTTGATTGTCCTACGTGCTAGTATTTGTAACTACTTCAGCTTCTGTAAATTAAACTAAATTCTCGACACTAATTGTGTGCATTGAGAAGTTTCGATCCCCAAAATTTATCATGTTATACTTAAAATGTAAATATTGATTTTATCTTAGCATAGTACTGAAATTACTTTTGCTGCAACGAGACAATGAGTCTAGTACGCCTGTAGATAGAATGAATGACCCATCGAAGAAACATTGTTTTGATTATATTTGTAGATTAACACCTTTCTTATTAGATATGAAAACCTACTAATTTTGGGACACAGCTATTTTCTTATTTGTCAGATTTACTTTTGTATTAACCTTCTCTACATGTCTTGTAATCAATAAACTGATCTATACACAAACGCACGCGCGCGCGTACAGTTGAATTTACTACGGACGCAATTCTTAATAAATACGTGATTAAATGTATATTTACATAAATATTAATAATTAATAAACGTTTGAAAAAATGATTCTCTAGTTAATTTTATCATTCGTTAGTCACTACTCAGTGGCCAGGCATGACCAGGTGGTTAGGGTGCTCAACTCGCAATCTGCGGGTTCGAATTCCTGTCCCACCAAACATGCTCGTCCTTTCAGCCGTGGGGGCGTTATAATGTGACGGTTAATCCCACTATTCATTGGTAAAAGAGTAGCCCAAGAGTTGGCGGTGGATGGTGATGACTAGCTGCTTTCCCTTCTTACACTGCTAAATTAGGTATGGCTTTACATGTCTTGTAATCAATAAACTGATGTATACCTAGATCCTAGTTATAACAAACCTTTCACGAGGGGAATAAGGTTCAAGAATATATATTGATTCATGGGTGCACCAGTGAACGTCAATAAAGATGTTACAAAGGACTTAAAAAACCCTATATAAATATTAAACTTTATTTCTTATGTTCAAAATACACATTTTTCTTAAAATTCTAAAAATTTTGAGTTATTTGAAAATAGTAGTTTGTTAATAAAAACTACCAATCTCAAGGGATCATGTGAGACTGTGGGTGTATTTTATATATTATAAATATTTATTCTTTACAAAAAGATGTTTTTATTTAAGTTGGATGTTTGATTCCTGCTATACGTAACATCACAGGCTATTCTTAGGAGTGACAAATAACCATTGTGAAATAAATGTTATCATAGACTTGCTCTAATACAACTGTAACCATTTAAATAAAGATTGCAGACATAGAAAAGTAAATACATACAAATCGAAAACTATCTGATGCAAATTTAAAACAATAACAGAAGTAGTTTAAAGCATAGTATCAATGGTTTTGTTAATTCATAGACGATCAAAACTAAATTCACACATTTTAAAGGGCTAAATCCCCTTTGAGAAGACATATTTCTAATGAAAAATCTAGAATAAAAGGTTAACGAACCTTTCAACTTTAGACTTTAACAAAAAAATTAAAATAAACTATTATAATCACATTCAAGTAAAAATATACCTTCAAAAATCTATGAAAACAAGTTTCAAAATAAACGTTAAAATCTTCAACTCCTAACAGGCCTTAACTGACAATAAAATACTTTTGACATGTTTAATTATAATCTAATCAAAAACACCTTAGGTGTGAAAAAAAGGTGCGGCCAAAAACAAAAATAGGATTGAGTGTGCGGTTTAAAGGAATGAAATCAAAATTGGCGGCCAAACTGGTTGCTACACTTATAGCATTGATAAGAACTTTACACTAAATATTCATTCATTACTTATCTAGGCCGCATATTTTGTTTTATCCACCACCGTGCCCCAAGTTGAACAAAAAACACGGCCTGGCTAACTAGTAAATGACTGTTTGCTGTAAAGTTCTTATCAATGCTATAAGTGTAGCTACCAGTTTGGCCGCTAATTTTGATTTCATTCCTTTAAGTCGCACACTCAATCCTTTTTTGGCTGCACCTTTTTTCTCAAGATGTTTTTGATTAGATATCATGACTTTTTGTCAATACACACCAACAAACTACAGCAAGTAAGAGTGTCACTAGTAACCCACATTAGCTTTATGACCGAAACCCTATTATTCGGAACAGACCTTTACTTTACAGAACCAACCAGATTCTTTAAGATATACGGTGGTAATTTTTTCCTCTCTAAAACAGTGTTAATAGCTTCCTTTATATTAACACCATGGACTTTAGACTAAGTTTCTTGTCATTATCCTCATGCAATCAATACAGCCGTGTCAAGCAATATTATTTATGCTAATTGCTTAAGCTAATATTACGTGACGCTAAATTAGGATAATTTCATAAAATTTAGTAAATTTGTGATGAAAAGTTGGCAAAGAATAATAAATAAGTGTCCACCCATACGGTTTTTGAAAACTTGAGCTAGAAACTGCTAATTTAGTTTGCTTAGCCTAACCAATACTTATGTACCTGCACGCCCTTTCACCTTATAGTTTTGCTACTCTAAATCAGCCGTCTTTAATCCGAATGACAAAAAAAAACTAAAAACGGTCCACTTTTAATCTTATGTGAAGCTATAATAAAAAATGTTAAACCGATAGCTCACGTGACTTTTTGCGTAGGCGTGAGCAAAAATTTTCGTCAAATTTGAGCAGTTTTATTGAATAACTTTGCACGTGTAGCTTATATTCACACCAAATGAAACTTCTAATTGTAGGTTCTAAAAATCTATCAGCGTACCAAACTTGAAAAAAACAAAATCCATAAAAATATGTTTTTCTATTAAATAGTTTCCGTACTTTTGGTGCGAAGAAGAAGAAAAAAAGGAAGAAAATCAATCAAAATTGGAGATGTTATATCTCAAGTATTTCTTAATGGATTACTTTGAAATTTGGTATGTGAAGTACGAGTCCAGTAGAGCACGTCAACTGAAAATATATGATAGTTTGGATTACCACAGTCCGAGCTACAGAAGGTGGAAAATCGCTAAACTATCAATCCTATTAATTACACACAATGTGTCCTGCAGTAGGTTGTTTTGGCGCACGACACACTACTCTGTGTATTGACATCTCTTAAATTATGTTTCTTTGTGAAGACTACATTGTGAAAGTGCAGAAGAAAAAACTTTTCTCTAACTTTAAACTGGTTTGGCCTGCGTGTTCAAAATGTGGTTAATTATTCAAAGACCAACTGAAGACAGAAAAATATAGAATTACACCTAAATACCATGAAGCAAAAATCCTAGTTTTCTTTCTATAACCTGGGGTTTCTAACGTAAAATGCTTTGATACATTTATTCATAAATTTACAAAACATTTAAAAATCTTGTCTTACCCACAAGATTCATAATTAACAAATAGCTTAAAGGACATTGCATAACTCTGGCCAAACAAAAACATGTGGTATGTAATATACAGTAAAGCATCGCCCCCTGTTACATTCCTTTAAAAGAAAAAGAAAAAACAATTTAAGCTACAATATGTCTAATCACTATTTCGATATTTATTTGACTTAGGTCTACTTTCAGCAAAATACAAACCAGGTTAGATCCCTTTAAACAATTTTGAACAAGCTACAAGATGTCTAATCACTATTTCGATATTTATTTGACTTAGGTCTACTTTCAGCAAAATTCAAACCAGTTTACATCCCTTTAAACAATTTTGAACAAGCTACAAGATGTCTAATCACTATTTCGATATTTGACTTGGGTCTACTTTCAGCAAAATTCAAACAAGAGTAACCTACTTGTTAGCTCAGACTTAATATCGTTAATCATTCAAATATATGCTTTTTGAAATGTAGAATCTATTTTGGTTTTGAATGTCATTAAACCTTACTTCTAACATCATCACCCAATATTTATGTTTGAATCCGTACAGTTTTTTTTTTTCTTTTTGTTACATGTTGATCATATAATACATATCCTAATTATAAAAATGAACATATTTAGCACAAACTTTTGGGGTGCAACTAAATAATGCACAATTTACTGGTAAGTTACAAATACTACCAGATTACCTTTTTCAACATATAAAATAAAATATAAATACATTGATTGCATTTCTTTCGTAGAAATTTTACAGACTCAGGCAAGAAAAAGGAATTGAAAAAATGCTGTAAGACATAATATGGTGGGAAATTTAGGGGCATTAACACAATAACATTAGTATTAGTAGAGTTAACAGCTCTAGCAATCAAAAACCATGATGATGAAAGAGACACAACTCAATTTCAAGTACAGTCCTACTTCACTTGTACTCCTTCTCCAGACGAACAAGGAAACAGCTTGCTCTACTAGAAACATCGTAGCAAATCTTGTCATGGAATGCATCTTCTGTACCAGTTAAGACCATGTTTTTCAGCACTGGTTTCATGATTAATGGCAGGAGATCATTCATGTCTCCAAGAAATTTAAACAAACTTATTTTAATTTATGACAATTATAAGCTATTTTTTAAAATGTAAAAACTTATTTTGAGGGAGCCATCATCATTTTTATTAGTAATTGAGAACTTTATAATCAGTTTAATACTGGTGTATTCTTTTTTTTTTCTATCACATTCACAGTAAATAAAAATCTGTTGATGCTGTTTTGTATTTGATTATATTGTTGATCAATTTCACATACATTTATGAATATTATATAGTGTAACCTTATAATTCTTGAAAACTTAACACTAGCTTTATTTGCCAGTTAATACCTATTGTAGGTATAGAAACATCCCTCCTTTGTACAGACATGTACACCTTTACCATGCAATATCCAACAAGTCCCCACTTCTTAATAGTGCTGTCATATCACATGCCTATTCTAATATTATTATTTATATTTCTTCATTAACACTCCTACTACTTTTCCACTATTGACTGCTTTCTATTTCGAAGAATAGAAACCAACTACCTTGTGGCATATCCTGTTCAATAAGCACGAGGTAACAAATAAGTTGAAAAAGTCAGTTGTAAAAAAGTCAACTTAATTGGAATTGTAAAAATTCAACTAGTTGAGGAAAAAGAAGTAATACTCCGTTTAATGATTTACAGTTTTTTTTTTATAAGTCTTGAATTTAAGTATTCACCAGTAGACTTGTGGATTATAAAGATATTCTTGCCTTATATAATATTTGAAGAATATATAGCACTTATACTTCTAATTTATTCATCTGAATTGTTCAGACATCCTATGAAATTAGTATGTACGTGAAAAGCCGAGTAGAAATTAGGGCAAAATTGCAAATACTCTATTTAAATCGATAGTTTAGCTTTGAAATTGCGTTTTAATTTGGGACTGTTTTTTTATTTATTTGTGTTTTTTCTACAGGTCAGGTGGTTTCCATAGGAAAAGTACTATAGCTTAGAGTACTATGTACATGGATGTAAAGTCATGTGGGTGATGGCCGGTCATTATCAACTTTTTTTTTTTTTAACAAGAAGTTACTTCTTCCAAATTTTTAGCAACGAAACTTATGTTTTCCAAGGATTTCATTTAAAAAAAAGTTACATAATGCACTTTCAAGAACCCTTATGATATGACAGCACTATTAAGAAGTGTGGACTTGTTAGTTATTGCATAGTAAAGGTGCACATGTCCGTACAAAGGAGGGATGTTTCTACTGGTTTTACAGTATCTTAATATGACAAAGCTCATGTTACTGAATTTATCCATTATCCTCTTTGTTTGTCTGTAGGGTGGGAAATTTAAAAGTCTCTCAGTGGAAAATAGTGCATCTACTAGGCAGTCTGCCTATTCATTCAGGATTATTAATTCGAATGAGCATGAAACCTACACTTAATCTTTTGGTCAAGCTCATGAAGTAGATGACGTATTCTGGATGAATTTCACCAAATTATTACAGTTGCTCTTTAAAACTAATATAAACTTTCTTTATTGCTGAGGTAATCAAATATTATTCTCAGATCTGTACAAACTCACCAAACATCAAACTCACTTTTAAGACTTCCTAAAATATCTTCAATATGAATGTGTGGATTCACAAGACATTCAGTCTGCCAGGTTCTATTGTCAAATTCTCAAGTTTGGAAGTCATTGACACTGAGTTAGATAATATGTGGCTACTAGGAATCTTTGTCTTTTTGTGATACTTAAATGTTCTTTCCTAAGAGTATCATCTTTATCACCTTAACTGTACTTGATATTAGACATGATGGTTTATATATATTCTAAATTTGATAATATATTCCTTTCTATCATGTTGATATTGGGAGTTTAAAAATTGATATAGTAGCAGAATATCTTCCAGTTGCTTAGTTTCTACATGTATGATCTTTGTTTTAAATTTTTTCACATTTTTTGATGAATTTAACATCTATATAGTTATATGTAATTCTAATGCAAGTCACTCCCTGTAGGGGCTTGATTATGCATGTGTCGATGATCAGGCTGTTGAGTTCTTTATGGTTGAGTAGTCTTGTTCTTCTGATTGGTGACACATACTCAGCTGAATCATGGAAACAGGAAACACAGCCTCCTGGATATCTTTTTTAGGTGGTAAATGTACTTAGTTCTTCTGTCCGACTCATTTTAGTAATCACTTTCTCAACCTGATTTTTGCTTACCCCAATGACTATTGTTTGTAATATCACACATTTTTTTATGAAAATGCTCACTTTGCCAAGTTCCCTAAGTAACATTAATGAAAGTAACACAATTTTGGAACAATATATTAGTACAAAGACTAGAAAAGTATTTTTGACACAGAGACTTTTGAGAAGAAATTCTTCTACACAGTTTAGGTGATGCCCAATTGTAAGTCTAACTACAAAATGTATTCCAATCATCTATATTTTCTTTTGAATTTTGTAGCTTGTATTAATGATAATAGATCAAAATCCTAAAATGACAATATTAATGAACACTTTCCTTACAATGGATTACTGTCCATACATGTTAACATTTTCAGATGAAACACAGCTGTTAGAAGAAATAATACAATTACTGTTTGTAGGTCTAAAATTTAGAATTGGGAAAAAAATGCCTTTTCTTAGTAAAGGATTAACCATCCATCAAGACAAGGGTATGAACATATTTTTTTTGCTTGAAATTTTGTTTATAGACAGCAGCAGCCCGATAAATGTAAAAGCCTAAATATAAATTTCAACAAATAATTTTATTAGACTGGAGATAGTAATTTATTCCCAGTGTATTAATGTCTATTTAATAACACTAGATTTAGAAAAACAATATATTTTAATGATTACAATTTAAAATTACTGTAAATACTGATGGTAATTTTCTGCTCTTATTTGATTTCTATTAAAATCAATAAAAAAGGATGATTCAGGATAAGGGGAAAGAAGCGTCTTCTGCTGGTGTAAGAAAAGGAAAATACTAGATTATGTACACTTTTTCCCAGTTGTAGAGCATTAGGTAGAAACGGATGATAGGCAAAAATATATTCAAACAAAATATTTAAGGGTGAGAGATAAAAGAAGTATGCAGTAAAAAAATATAAAACAGGAGTTTTTACATCACACTCAAAAAGTCTTGCAAATAAAAACCTATTCTAAATATGTCACTCTTTTCAAGAAGTACAAAACATTTCTTAACATCAGCTGACAATGTCTGTTTTCCACATTCAACTGGTTTATTTTTAAAACTTCACATTTCTTGCACTGAAATTTCATTTTTGCACTCCTATACTTGTATGACAAATAAAAGTCAACATATTCTGGAGATTAATATTTAACTTGCTATGTTTTTAAAGATCATGTGTAGAATCTTTCTACACATTATAGTTAAATACCTTCATGTAATTTCAATAGTAATCATTCCTGTATTTGCCTAAAATTGGCAACCAACTCACACAGCATGTTCACAACTACTCCTTTAATTTCACCAGCCACTTCTAATGCACATATCCTATTCTTCAACAGAATAACAAAAAAGTATTAAAATAAAGACTTCAAGCAATTTCAGCATCCACTGATATCTTTCCTGTTCTTTCTGAGGAAACGAGTTTCCAAAGGGTCAAAACCTCGTTCATTTGCTCCAAATTGTCCCCAGTGAGGTGTTGGGGCCATGTAATCTAATGAAGTGAAGGTCTCTAACCCATTACTTACATAATATCTCTGTACCAGTTCACTGAACTTGGGATAGTCTATCCACGTCCACCAGACTCCATCTCTGTTGAACTAGTTGAAAAGCAATAATGTACAGAAAGATGTAAATGAAAACATTTCTTGAACAAAACTATACATGAGTATAAAGAATTCACTTATTTTCTTTAAAATAAGAAAGGCCATTAAACAATTTTCCTGTTGACAGGTAGAGCAATTTTATTGTTATTTTTTAATTAAAATTAAAAATAAAAAAACAATTACTTTTTTGTTGGCAATTAAGACACAGTTAGAATGTTCATGCTCAGATGCAATTTCATAGTCTGGCAACTTATCAGAAAGCTCTTGAACAAACCCCAAAACTTCCTTATGCCATGGTACATTCTCCATAGTAAGATTACTGGCTTTGGAGGTTCCACAGTAAGTCACACCCTATAGTAAAAATATTACAACACTTGACTTTTGAAAAAAGCTTGTACTTAATGACAGTTTATCAGATTTTTATACAAACAAATTGTACATAACTTGTGCATACAGTAATTAATGCTAAAAATCTGCAATTACCTAGTTTCCTACTATAGAAATAACTGCACTACATAACCCCTTTCACACGGTCTTTAGTCACTGTTATGGAAGTTCATGACTGCTTATTTGTTTTTAATTTTGTACAAAGCTACACGAGGACTATCTGCACTACCCATCCCTAATTTAGCAGTGTAAGACTAGAAGGAAGGCAGCTAGTCGTCACCACCCGCTGCCAACTCTTGGGATACTTTTTTACCAATGAATAGTGGGATTGACCATCACATTATAATGCCTCCATAGCTGAAAGGGTGATTTGAGCACCATAACCACCTAGCCATGCCGGGCCAGAAGTTCATGAATTGTGCAATCAAATGCTTCATATTAACTTAAAGAAGATTCTTTCTAAATCAACAATATTATTTCATTCAGCAATCTTAAAAATGATAAATTTGCAAGCACTAAATTATAGGGTACCAATGATCCTTGTATTTATACTTCAAAATCCCCTTAGAAATATACTACCATTTAAACTCTTTACATGAACAGCCAACACAGTTTCTATATCTAATGTTTTCATCCTCTAAAAAACAAACTAATATCAATTAAACTACCATTTTTGATCATTTACATTCGATTTGAAACTATTTGCTTGAGATCACCGACAGATAACTCATGTAACAGCTAAATCTGTTTTTTCTTTATGTGCTGTGATCTATTATGATTAACCTTATCTTCTGTCCTTTCCAGAAATACTTCAACCAAACTTACAGTAATTGCAACAAAGGTTAAACTCACTTCTCAAAGCTGAAATATCTTAGCACTTGTAAGTATGATGAAATTGGATTGTAACATTCATCTAAAAACGTTATCTTAAAGAATTTTATAATGTTATATTTAATTTTTGCTGTGATCTATTAAACTGAATAATACTTAGTTATTTACTTTAAGCTTCACTCTGTTAAATATAACAAAAAAAATTGTTAAAATAATACAACTGAAAGAATTAAACCTTTTTTAAAATGATTTGAATTTTTATAATGTGTAGATATGAGTAACTTTTGGTTTTCATAACATGACCTACCTTGACTTCAATAAAGTCTGGTCTGCCAAGTTCCACCAGATTGACATAACCCTGGAGTTCCTCTATATTCCAAGATTTAACTAAAGTTAATCTGTACACAGTGCGCTGGCCCTACCAATATATAAAGTTATCAAATGATGTTTTATACTAATAAATCTTAACCAACAAAACTGTATCTAGTTTTTCATTTCTAAAGTTAAATTTTCAACTGACTGTTAACAATCAAAGGTTGGTGTTAATCTTTTAAATTTCTTACAAAAAGTTTATATATCAAAATAAATAACTGTGCATCTACTCCATGTTAACAGCTTTTTTTTTCTGCATTAACAGACTAAACTGTTAATGTAAGTCTGTGGTTATTTATCTTGTTGAATTATCATCCATCTTGAGACTCTCAAAGAAAAGTATTTTTATATGTGACAAAATATAAAGTGCATTATCTCAGAATAACTTCCTCATGGAGCATACTGGAAGTATCAAGATGATGAAATTTATACATCAACACTCTAAATATATATATATATATATATATATATATATATATATATACTGCTCGTACCGTACACTCCCGTCCGTTCGGTCCGGTACCAGCGAGGACTAATTTTTATTTTAGTTTTTATTTTTTTAAAATTTTAAAAAATTTAAAAA